CCCACCAGAACCCCCGGAGAGCAGAGGAAGACTTCCTCAAGGAAGCGGGGCAGGCGAGGTTACTGGAAGAAGGACGAGATACTTGGCAGACAAACGGGGAGTTGCCTGTGGAGTGAATTGCTCTGTGAAGATGGAAGGGGCAGTCAGATGGGTAGATATGGAGAAACTGAGGCACGGAGTAGTCCCTGAGGCCTCAATGCTACCTGAGGCTTCAGGTGAAGACCACACAGTAGAATCTGCTGTGGGAGAAAGTTATAGAAGCAGAAGAGGTCCAAACACCAATTCTGCCTAGGATTTCTTTCTGGTCTTCCTGGCAAACTCACTCCTGGGAGTGAGGAGCGCGCGGGGAGCTGCCGGCCATTTGCATGTTGTGAAAGGAAGCCTGTTGATCCAGAGCAGAGAGGCAGAACAGACAATGCCATGAACTGAGGTAAATAAGCATTCTTGAGATCCTCATAGTTCACCATCATTTCCCAATTTTTAGCTGGAAAACTGGGAGAAAGAAGGTAGAAGCAGTGAGGGTCCTGGGCTGTGGGACGGGCACGTGAGACCCTCTGGGCTGCGCACGAACACTCTAGATTCGCCCCACTCTGGCCAGTCGCTGCAGAATTGGCTGTGTGGTGCTTTTTCATTGGGGAAACATGGAAGTTCTCCATGACGTAAACAACCAGAATGAACCGGTGTTGAACAAGCAACTGATGCGAATGCTCTCAGAGAGCAGACATGAAAAGGTGAGGAGAATGGTTTGCCTGTGCTGTAGGAAAGTACACAGATACGATGCAGAGGAATCCTGACTTTCCCCTCTCCATGGAGCTTCTGAAAATAGATGACTTAATTCATTTAAAAGAAATTCAAGTAATAAAATAACTCGTATTATTTTTATTAAAAATTGATATTGTTTTTGGTGAATATTCTATCATCAAATCTGTGCTTATTGCGAAAGCTGGACACCTTCCTCAGGGCTGACAGGGTTTCTTCAAGTTTGTGAAGAAGTGTCTGTTTTATTGTTTTCTTTTGTTTTCAAAGCATTTTCACATTTGTCTCAGCTGATTATCCTCTGGAGAAGCAGAGCGGTTGGAGACAGCGCTTCAGACCCAGGGCTTCCAGTGCACTCCTGGGCTGGGCTCTCGGGGTGACATGTGGCCGCATCGTGATAAGAGACGTTAAGTCCATTGTGAGAATGTTCAACTATCAATCTTTAATTTAGTCAAACACCTGTTGTCAGTTAAAAAAAAAAGTAAAATCTACATATACAAACCAAAAAAAAAAAACCCAAAAAAGGAAAGAAATGTACTGAAATCACATTTCAAATAGTTATATTGGCACTACGTAGATCATCTCGTTAATTTCTCATTTTCAGGAAACAACATATTAACAGACTACATGGTTTTGTAGAAAAGGGAATTTGTCAGATTACTAATGTACTAGTGTGATATAAAGGAAAAGCTCTCAGAAGAGAGGGTACTTTTCTTCCTGAGAATCCAACAGAAGCGGGCAGACCAGCTCGTGAGCAGCTGGGACCTAGAGTCAACCCAGCAGAGAAGGTCACTCACAGGGTTAGACTGGCTTGGCACAATGGGCCAGGAGTCCATCTGTGGTGGGGGCAGTGGATCCATGCAGGGCACAAGATGAAGGGCAGGGGCACAAATGACTAAGGTGGAAACGAAGCCCAGATTTGGGATGTGCACCAGATTACATGCTGGGCTGAGGGATGTTGTGATGAGGGTCCTTCAGCAGTTCTGTGGGTCTCATAAGGCGACACCTGGGTTCTGGGGCAGGAAATCCAGCTACCAGGAGAACAGAAAATCCTATTACTGAGTGTAGGGTGCTTTCAGGCAGAAATTCAGCCACTGAGAGGACGGGGAAATGGCAGAGCATTTAACTAGAGACACATGACCACGGGGTGAGGGACACAGGTTGCAGTGTATACCCAGGGGGTTAGACTTCTTTAAATATTACTCTCTTATGTTTCTCTCTGGTATGGTTATTCCTGTAATTTAATTGATAACTTTGTGGTTGGTTTTTTTTTTAATAGAAAAAGGCTCAGAATAGAGCTTCATTTCATATCTCTCCATTTTCTACACTTTTCAGAAACTTCGTAATTGGGCGTATGAAAACAAACCCAATAAACGACCTATCCTACAAGCACAGAAATTGAAGACATAGGATATAGGAGGGAGAAAATTCAGCCTCTCTCACATCGCTCATTCCTTCATTTAATCATGCATTTAACAAGGGCAATGCTCTAGTACTGTATCATCAAGGACCATGCTTCCCAAACTAACATGTTTAAAACACAGATTTCGAGCCCCACCCGGATTTCTGATTCAGTAAGTCTGGGTGGAATGTGATCATGCCCCGTTTTAACAAGACCCCAGGTGATGTGATGCTGGTGTGAGCTACTTTCTTCTCTTTGATTACCATCTAATCTGGCAGTGACTTGGGTTTAAAACACAGGGTGGTGGTGGGGGTGGGGGACAAGTGAATAACACAGTTCCCATACCCACAGCATATCTAATTAAGGGTTTTTTTTTTCTTTTAGGCAGGGCAAGAAATACAAATGACTATAAAAAAAAGATATCTAAATAAATATAGTAATAATTCTAGGAAGGTCTAAAAATTAATTATGGGCTAGTGAAAAAATAATTGAGGCTATAGAATAGGTTCAAAGTGTTAAATCTAACCAAAGTGTAAAAAGGAAGACTAGGTTCAAATTGAATCAGCCATAATAAAGCTATAATTGCATGTTTAAATATTTAATAAAATTTAATCTAATTAGAATCTATCCTTAAATGCTCAAGAAAAAATAGTTTCAAAGTTGAATTTAATAATTTGAGCATTAAACAAAGTCCTAATTTTTCTGAGTGTAGCCCTCCATGGTCAAAGGGCCTCTGATTTTAAAGAACCAGCAATGATCAGAGTTTATGGCAACCCTCTCCATCTCATTGGCTCACTCATTTATGCCAGAACCAATTTCCAAACCCCCCCAGGCACTGTTGTCGTAGTTGGGGGGTCAAAGATGAAGAAAGCCTGGTGTCCACCCCAATTTGCTCTAGGCCCCTGGGAGGGATGGAGGTAGACAAGTCTGGAAATACAGTGCGGGACGAACACAGAGCGGTGCCAGGAGAATCAGAAGAGAACTAGGGGGACCTACCCTGGTGCTGGGTTGGGGTGGATCAAGGAAGGCTTTCCAGAAGACTGGTGGCGGTAGTGGCCTCTGAAGGACAGTAAGGTGACCTGGATGAAGACGGGTTTGGTCCTCGGGGATGGGCCTGTCCCAGGTGAGGGGTGCTCAGGGTGGGCTGTGGTGAGGGGTGAGAGACGAGGCAGGAGAGGCGGGCTGGCCAAGCGTTATGAAGCTTGGATGCCACACTCTGGATGTGTTTGATTTAGTAAAACGAGGAGCCACCAAGGGACTCCACAATGGAGAGGGAAGAGGGTTGATGAAGTGTGCATTTCTGAAGCTGCAGCCTACATTCAAAATGGAGGAGGTGAATCTGTTGCTGATCTTTTCTCATCCATCCTCACAACATTCCTGGGAAATACATGTGATTAAATGTCACACACTTAGGCAGAATCAAGTAGCAAATAGCTGAGTGGCTTTTCCAAGACTGTGATTGACAGCAGCCCAGGTGGGACCAACTTAGAAGTCTAGCTCCTCATTCACGTCCTTCTCTCTAGAACTTCGTGGCCGACTCATCCCACTTTCCAGCCCCGAATGCATGTTGTTGTGGCTGTTCTATGATGTTCTTAATGCTACCTTTTTGACCAGCTAAAAGTGTTCACATACTGCTTGCAACTATGTGGATATGTACCCCTTCCTCAAAATAATGTTATACATATAAGCAGATTGTACAGCCAAATAACAACCCTTGGGAGAGTGTCAAGACCTACACCTAGACTTAAATTCTAGCATTTTGGAAATCAATATGAAATGTTGTTTTAATAAGCTTGTCCTGATTTCCCCTATGCCAGAACACACACTGGACATGGGGCTTCCAGGCAAACGCTCCTGGTAAGCTCATCTTATTTCGATCAGAGATCCCACATGCATGACTATTCAGGAGTGAACTGCAGATTTCATACTTAATGCAAACTGCCAGTCAGGCAGTTTATCTGATGCTTGAACTGGTTTGCTGACAAAATTATGCACCAGTTTCCTCCCCCGATCTCCACAAATATTAGATTTTTTTTTTAATCAGTAGAGCAGTGTTTTGTTTCATTTGCTTGAATAAAAATTATCAGGATAAGCTGATTCAAAATAATCAAAGCAATATGCAAGTCCATTTTTTCAGCCAAACCAAAAGTGGCTTTCTGATAATGGACTGGTGTTGCCTGCTGCATCTGACAAGGGACCTCGCCTCATGTGAGCGGTCATCTGAAAAGGACAGGCCTCCAGCCAGTGTGATCGCAGTTGAATGCTTTTATTTTTCCTTCAAAGCCAAGACAGCACATTATTCTTGAGTTACTTTAAATAACATTATCAGAATATTGAGGACTACAATAATGTGTGCCTTTAGGATTGAAATAATTACTGGCACTAAAATAGGATATTTAATTTCCATCACATAAAAACCTGAGTACATACTGAAAAAATTTACATAAACGTACATCTTGCCATAAGACTTCTCAAGAAATTATTCCTTTCCTGTTTTGGGGGGACTCTCCATTTCAGTATAAAAATCAACTAAAAGTCAATTTGCTTCTTATTTTCTAGGCTGCCTGCAAAACAACAAAAGAAGTAAATAACTGGTCATTGCTTTGACTTGAGATTAAAAAAAACCAAGAGTTTCAGGAGGTGATATATTGCTCAGGCAGTGATGGGCCGTGAGACCCGCATCATTCTGACCCCGGGGCAGGCTCCCTGTGGATTCACTTGTAGTGGCCGGAACTCTCTTTCTATCTGGACCAGCAAGGTTGTGGGCATTGTGCTACAGGATCGTGAAGGGGATCAGTCAGACTGAGCTCACGTGATTCAGGAGGAATGAGCGAGCCCTGGAGCGGGCTAAGGACACACTGCACCGCGTAAGAGGAGCCCAGCGCCTGTCAATCAGCTGGCCAGAGGGGCTTGCCCTGCTGAGCACCAGGCTTCATTCTCTGCCCTCCTGGGCCCAGCACATGACAGAGCTGGTTCTTGCGATGAGCAAAGAGGAAGCAGTCCTGCCTGCTGGAAGTCATTCTTTCAGCCTCCCATTCTCTGACCAGTATTGATCTAACCACTTTTCCTAACCAGGAAGCCCAGGGACTAGGGTGTGTCTTCCTTTACAATTTCTAGATGACTTGGGTAATCCAAAACTTTTGTGTGGGTCTCCATTATTTGGGGCAGTGAATATATTATTAGCTTTTTGTTTCTGTTCTAACAAAAAATGTAATTAGAATTCACACACAATGTTGTATTTTGAGGGATGATCTACTTCTTGTCCAGGATGATGTTCCCAGTCTCATCTTTGATCTTAACCCTCCCAGAGGCATACTTGGTTTCCTGGTGGCCATTGCAATACACAGTCTTGATGGTGCCATCGGGGTATTCCCTTCTCTTGAATTGGGCTGTGTGAATTTCCTTCTGCCCGTTGCTGAATACGATGGTTCTGTTGCCGTTCCTGGTGGAGGAGAACAATCTTGTAAGTTAGATTGCACAGCAGCCAATGCTGCCAGCGTGGAAGCAAGTGGCATGACCACCCACGTCTGGAATGCTCATTCCAAATCTTGGTGGATGAGGGTAGAGAAGGTGCCAAGGCTAGAACAACGAAGGCACACAGTAGATTCAGGGTATTGACAGAAACTCAATCAGGCTGAGAACAGGGAGAGGACTAGGGAGGTCTATCGGGTCTGTTCATGCGGAGTCTCAGGGCCTGTGCTGAAAGCTTTACCTTGAAGGAGAGAGGACACGTTGCAGGATTTTACATGTGAATGACATGAACATGCTACAGAATATTCAAGAAAAATGACCCCAGAGGTCATGTAGACTATTTTGACTGCGTGAGGAAAACTGATCTTGCAAGTGCAAGAGAGAAATGATGAGGGTTTGTGGTGGCAGAACTAGAGGAGAGGGGAGAGTTGGAGGTCACAGCCCCCAGCGGTTAGGGGCCACTGGCTATCGGGATGAAAAGAGCAGATGGGTCTAAAACAACTGCCCAGCACACGCGGGGGACTGGGTGGGTGGGCTGACCTCAGGGTCTTTACTCTCCTGGCACTAGGAAACAGTAGGCCCGACCAGCCCTTTCTTGGTGTATCTTACATAGTTGTTCACATGTGTTCTACTGTAGACTCAGGCTTCTAGACAGCACCATCTGAAGTGGGCGTACACTGAAGACTGGAATTATTTTTATGATACAATTCAAGCATGATGAATGTCAGTGAAGAAAACTTAAAAATCAGTATTTACACCCATGTTCTCTATAAAGGAATTCAGATCAAGGTCATAAGACAAAAAACTTGTGGGGTCAGTGACATTATTTTCTATTACTATATTTATACAAATACTTAAGCTTTTACGAAAATTAAATTAATCTATACAAACCAAAAATTCGGAAGACTTCAGATTCACATCTTCTGTCATAATACCGACCTTTCCACACTCACAGTTGTCCCATCAGGAAATACAGTCTCTTCACGTCCATCATTGAGACGTTTCATGGTCCCATCCGGAAACATGATTTCCTTTGAGCCATCAGGATAGAACTTTTCTGCAGAACACAATTTTTTTTAAATGTGTTACATTGTATTTAGATATGTTATGTCTAAATAAACTGTAAAATATTACTGAGATGGACTAAAAGGGGAGTATTATCCAATCATATGAGCTTATAACTAGCATTGCTAGATATAATACAAAATGTCCAATTAAATTTGAATTTCAGGAAAATGACAAGGAATTTTTTTAGCATAAGTATATCCTATGCACTATTGGGGACATAGTTATGCTAAAAAATTATTTGTTCTTTATCTGACATTCAAATTTAATTGAAAGTTCTATATCTTTATTTGCTAAATCCGGCAACCCTACTTTTAACAAAAGTTCAAGAACCTAAGTATCACATAAAAATAATCGAGGAAAAAAAACTCTGCTAACATCCAGGAGTAAACTTGTTGTATTCCACTGCTGCAGCCAGAATAGAAACAACACACAGACCAATCTTTGCACATTCGGCAAATACATCTTCCTAAACTAGGACATTTGTTGCATCACTTAGCTGCTCAAATATATTTTATAGTGATCCACTCCATAAAGGACGAACATAAAAGACTTGCTTTTGTATCTTACTCAATCATTTTTTGGTTTATAATTGAACATCTTGCTCCAGGCAGACTGATTTCCTTGGTCTCACTAGAACACAAAATTTATATTCCCCCAACTTGGCTCCAATTATCTCCCTGACTAAAATTTTCCTTTCCTTCTGTATGCCATCTGGCTCTCCAAATCCTACCCTTCAAGGTCCAAGGTCATCATTAATCCCACAGCGGGTGACCTCGTGCCTCTGAACGCCTTTGACCCTTAGCATTGTAAACATTCACTTTCACTTTTTCATATTGACAGGGGATGTCAATTGCCATAATAATTTGTGGCAAAGAACTGCACCTCACCCTCCACAGTGTCCTCCAAAGATAACACTGACCTTCACCCTCCTACAAGACAGAACCTTAGAAGTCACAGGCTCATTGTGGAGCATGCTGAAGCACTGCTATTTTGAATTTTACTAAAAAAATAAAGACATAATCATGTTGCATGCATGTGGTGTAAATCAGTATTTGCATGTGTTTGTGAACAAAAGAAAAGCTGCCAAATTAAACTTAATTGGTTAGTTTCTATTTGTTCTTTTAATGTCCATTTGCTTCTTTTTTATTTGTTTTGTCAACTGTTAGCAGTTGCTGGCAGACAAGTGACAGCATAAAATATACTTAAGAAAACTAAATGTGGTGAAGAATCTTACAAATAAGGAAAATTTCTGCCCATTAAAATAATTTTAGCACAAAACCATAAGATTGTTTTTATGTGGTGTATTGATGGAACACCCAGAAGAAACTGAAGGTTCTTCTTCGGGACAATATTTTTTAAAACCACTGAATTCACTGAGTTCCTGGTAAATAATCAATGCACAAGTCTGCCGATTTGTATGAGCTTACAAGAACACGTGTGTAATGCACAATTGCACCTCTAAAATGGCAGCAGTGGGAAAAAATGGGGCTTTGTCTGACTCTGCTCCTGAAATGGCAATCATAGGTAGAAGGGTTGAAGATACATGAAACGCATCGAGAACAATAACAAGACTTAGAATTCCTGCTGGAAAATTAAATGATGCATTAGAGACATTCTACGTGGACCAGCAGAGATCAAAGAGTTTAAAAAGCTTAGGCACAGAAATGGACTACAGGTCTATAAAATAATTTTATTTTTCAAAGGACATGAATTAACATTAATCAATCACCTGATATGGCATTCGTGACATAGCAAGTGTAATTTTTCATTTTCAAAAATTTGCTGAGGTCACTGGAGAAAGCAATTGCTCTGGCGTCCACCTCTCTGCTTATTTGTCTAATCAGAACCTAAAGGACAGATTGTAAAGGTAAAAATCCCAACAAGATATACCATTGCATTGGCTGGAACATGAGGACAAGAAGGAAAAGGGTGGACTCTCCTAGGGGTCCATATGTCATAGGTGATGTTGTGTTTAAGGATGACCTTGATTCTCTCTTGGCAAGACGGCAGATCAGATCCTCTGAAAACACTCCCACAGAAAATATCTAGTAATGCTGAATAAAATAACACAAAACATCAGTTTAAATGAAGACCCACACTCATGGAAAGGGCCAAAGACCAGAGAGGTTGCTGAAAAGCAGACTTGACCTCTGATGCTACAGCTGCCCTGCTGTCTTTGCTGTTCTCAGTATCCAAGAGGCTCAGCTCTTAGTAACTCTACTGGGAATGGGAATTGAGGCCCTGCTTAAAGATGACACTCTCAAAAAGCCATAGTCCCAATAAACAGGTGACCCTGGCAAATGGAGCTCACCAGGGAACAGATCTGTCTATTTCTGAGATCTCTGAAGAATTTGTAACTGCAGGCTGACCATCATTGAGGCTTAGCAATATCAATTCTGCAACCTGTGGATTCTGGGATACCCCAAACTAAGCAACAAGCATAAAAGAGTCCCAGGCTGGCAGTGACCTGGGGCATCTGGCAGAAGCAAACACAAAGCTTTCCAATTGACACCCCCAAACTGGGACCCACAGTATAGTCACCCAATGGGAGTCCACAATTCAAAGTATGACAATGGGGAGGGAACATGCCACCAAGAGGAAGTGTCAGCAGACAGTCAACCAGCCACCAGTGCCATGTGGAGCTCCACTGCTATATGCATGATGTCACCAGAAACAGACTATAAAGTAAGTATGTGTGCAATATTTTAAGAATTAAAGGAAGCAATTTAAAACCAGAAAGAGAAAGATGATATTAGCAGAAAAGACTAGGTAAATTTGAAAAAGACCAAAATGAAGTGAAAAATATAGTCTTTAAAATTAAAGCTAAAAAATGTATTAAGTATCATATAATACTAAGCTGAAGAGAAAAATGATGAAGTAGGAGATGGTTTTAAAGAATTTACCCAGAATGTAACAAAGACAAAAAGAAAATATGATATTGTTGGGGAAGAAGGAGAATCCCTCTCTGCCCTTTCCCTTAAGGTTCTTGTGGCTGGCCAAATAATTAAAAGACAGGTTAGCAGGAGAAAATAATACCAAATTTAATAACATGTATATATGGGAGAAACCAGGGAAACTGAGTTTCTCAACACAATATCAGAGATTCTCATCTTAAATACTATCTTCTGCTAAAGACAAAGGAGGATGTTGAGGGTGGGGAGGGAGACAGAAGGGAGACAGAAATTACAGTAATCAAGGGTATGTAGATATAAGTCCTCTCCTTCCATACTGATAAGAGTTTCCACAGATAAAGCCATCCCCCCCTCTTCCCAATACAGAGATGGAGATACCTTTACAAATGGAGATTTCCCTCGTAAATGTAAATGTTTGTCTGGCAACTCTTTGCTGGGCTACCTAGAGAATGTGGCCTGGGAGAGACAGAATTTTTGACAAGATGGGCTTGTTGGTGCCTTTCCTATTGTAACAGCTAGTTTACAGCCATCATATGATAGTGGCTCCTTCCTGAAATAGGTCTTCTATGTTAAATTCTTTAGGCAGTTTTGGGGAGGTCAATGTCAGTCAGAGAAAACAATCAAGGTAAAGAAAAATATTTCAGGGTGGCCAATTTTGATCTCCCACAATATGATAGGAGACAAGGAGGCTAGGATGAGGTGGTGTAATATGCCTGTAATTGGAGGTACAGAAAGAGAAAGAATGGAAGGAAGGTAATATTGGTAAAGACAATAGCTGAGAACTTCCCTGAACTCACGATCAGATTGCCAGATGAGACAGAGGACACCCAGTTAATTTGAATATCAGATAAAGTATGTCCCACATGTGTATTGCATGGGACATGCTTTTACTAAGCCATCATTTGTCATTTACCTGAAATTCTAATTTAACTGGGCATCCTGGCAAGTCTGGCAGCCCCACCTTATGGAAGACACAAATCATTAGATCTAAGATGCACAACAAATTCTTAACACAATGAATGCAAGTCAATCTACAACTAGACACATCATAACAAGCCTGGAGACAGAACATTTCTTAAAAGCAGCAAGAGAGAAAAGAAAAAATTACTTTCAAAGGTGAACATCAGACCTGCCAACAGACACTATAAGGGAGTAGAATAAAATCTTCAACATGCTGAGAAAAATTATTTGTTATTTCTTTCCTCCAAATTCTCCAGTGGATTACTCTCAGAATAAAAGTCAAAGTTCTCACAATGGTCTACACGTTCTGGCTCCTCGTTACTTTGACCTCATCTCCTTTATGCTGTCCTTACTCCACTCCTGCCAGGCTGGCCTCCTTGATTTTCCTCAGACACGCCAAGGTTCTTTGCCTGATATCCACATAGCTCGTCCCCTCTCTCTTCATCCATGCCTCTCCTTAAATACCACCAAGACAACAACAACAAAATAACAGCACCCCCGCCCTGTGCATTCCCTTCTCCGTTGTCTACCTTCTTCTTTATCTCCACAGCTTTTAATAGCTCCTGATTTTTATTGATTGATTTTTACCTGTTTGTTGTTTGTCTCCCTCCAGTGAAGCTTCATGAGGTAGAGACGTCTTTCAATTTTGCCCTAAAACAATGCCTGGCCCAGTGTAGGCACATAATAAAGGTCTACTGAATAAATGATGCGGAATTGCATATCAAGATAAGTTCTCATTCATGAACAAAGGTGAAATAAAGGACAATTTTCAGAGGAACCAAAACTGAGTTAATTGCCCCATCTAAAGAATGCACTTTAAGTGGAAGGAAATTGCACCAAAAGAAAAGCCTGCGATGCATGAAATAATAGAGAGCCAACAGACCTATATAAATGTGAAAAAATATAAAATAAACATTGACTGTATAAACAAACACAGTAACAGTCATGCCTGATTTTGAGGGTGAAGAAACAAGCTAGAATTAGAATGCTAGCTGAAGCAAGCAGAACAGTGTGAAGGATGGAAGGAAACGATTAGAACTAAAACTCTCCAAATTCTTCATGGAGGGCAGTCAGTCTACTGACAAATTTATGACTTGTGAAATAAATCTTCCAGTTAAAATAAAATTATCTTCAGATTGTACTTTTTTAAATTTCTATGTTGCTTATAAAAACACACAGAAAGATTTAGAAATAGCAAGAGAAAAAGATATCGCAGGCAATATTACCAAAGATAATGGCTATGAATTTTCCAGAATGGATGAAAAAATATGCATTCATAGACCTAAGAAGCACGGCATAGTCCAACCTGAATAAATAAAAAGAAATCCTAGGGATGTGTTATGGCTTGACTTTCATACCCCCAAATTTTTTTTTTCTATATTGAAGTCCTAACCTCCAGCACCACAGAATATAACGTTATTGGAAATAGAGTCATTGCAGATGTAATTTGTTAAGACAAGGTCGTACTAGAGGAGGGTGGGGCACTAATCCAATATGACTGGTAACACGCACAGAAGTATTAACAGTTAAAGGGGCATTGATATATGCAGCTCACCCTCAAGAGGATCAGAAAATATAAATAACATATATATGTGTGTATGTACTTAGATACATATAGGCACACATACACCTATACACAGAGAGAGAGAGAGAGAATGATAAAGCAAATGTGGCAAAAGGTTAAAAACTGGTAAATCTGGAGAAAGGGCATATAGGAGTTCTCTGTACATCCTGTAAGTTTGAAATTACATTAAAATAAACAAATACAATTTTTTAAAAAATCTAGAGCCAACAGAAAATAAAGGAACTGAACAGCACAGTTAAAGAGTTTGAACTGATGGATAATACAGAGCAACGCCCAAGAATGAAAGAGCGCACATTCCTCCCCAGCTCATGCAGAACCAGTATATTTACAGGAACAAAGTTAAAAAGAAACAGGAACCGTGTAGACCATGTTTTCTGAATATAACATACAAACCAACGTTACTGATATAAAGAAATTAAATCAACAAAATTAAAATAGAGGAGAAAAGGATCACGTTGAGATTCATTTCCAGGATCCATAACATGACAGAAATATTTTATCCTTTCCCTAGTGCCTGGTCATATCATGGGCCACAACCTCAGTATCCCCTCTGAAACATGAAGTTCATCTGGCCCCAGAGGCTTCTCTGCCACCACTCTGTATTCATAGGCAGCACCAACTGTCCTGGACACATCCATTCTGGGTTGATTAACCACATTTCCTAGAGAGAAAAAGAACTGCCTATATGTAAGAAGTACTTTTGTGGTTTAAGGATAGGAAGGTAAAGCAATGAGCCCTTTGAATTAAACAAATAAACTGTCAATTGCTCATTAAGCAAGGAAGCTGGTCCTTCAACATAGACACCTGGTGGCTGTTCACAAACTCGCCCCACTATGGCTGCTCCTCTGAGAGCCCTTTTAGAATTACACCTTCTCTCATGACTTGCAAATGGGCTCTGAAGGCAATTTCAAAACTATTTGCAAGGGTCAGCGAGGATATTTAATGACCTTACATGTGAAGTGTCCAGTCCAGCGCAGGATCTATTTTCAAACTGACCCCAGATCAGGAAGTTACACTTTTCCTGTGCCAAGAAACCAGACTTAACCATTCCTGTCTCTACAAACCTGGCAGGAAACAACGCAATATACAAAGTCCAGAGGGGCAGAACGATTTCACAAAGAACGAAGGCGGCCAGGCTGAGAATGTGGGAGGCTGAGGGAATTGCAGAGCCGTAAACACAGAAGGCCATTCCGAACTGCATAGGAAATTAGCTGCAAAGAATTTTCGCACAGTGTATTGGAGTTGGCAGATCTCCTTGGCATTATAATTAATAAAAATTCGTATTTAAAATGCAGACCCTCAGCCACTACAGACGCTGGAAAAAGAGGTCCCACTTGGTGTAAATGCCTCGGGAAACTAAAAGGTGGGTTTGGATGCAGTTAACTGTTTTTCCAAGTTATTTCTTTTCCTTTTGTATGTTAAGGAGATGTAACAACCTGCCATCCTGAAACTGACCAAACCTCACCACAAGAGCTACACCCATGACCTTTGCCTTATTTTTAATGCAAAGATCTCTCCAGGAGGAGCTTAGGCCTCATTATGTGGAAGCATGTTCTCCAAGTGAGCCTGTGCAAATGAATACCTGCCTCTCCCTTTTGAATATTCATTCCCCAACCAAATAAAATTTCCTGCTTCCCTTTGTTCGGGGATGCTATGACTTTGGAAATGATTCCTCATGGCCTCCTATTTGCTGCAAATACACTTTACTTTGTGAGACAACTTCCACTGGTGTCGTCTTATTTAACTCACCAGGAAGCAAGCCCACTTGGCTCTCTAACATAAAGGCCTTGCAGCAAGGAAAGGGCTCTGGGTGGAGCTGGGCGTGGGACAGGAGCAGCATGAGCCAGGCGTGGCTCAGGACTAACTTGGACAAGGACAAGAGTGGTCAAGAGAGCTTCCGTTCTTAGGCACAACCAGCACCAAGCGTTGTCACCCACACCCCATGAGGACCTAGAAGATCAGATCAGACACACATTCCATAGCTGGTTCTCATGCACGTGTAGTGAGATGTGTAACTAAGTCACATCACATCCCGTAGATTCAATCAATGTCCACATAACCGCTTTGTTGAGTTTTTAAAGACCCAAGTTAAAAATCAACAACAAAATCTCCTAGTTATTGAGATCTGATATATTTTCCCAAAACGTAGGCTAAGGAACACATTAACGCATAATCCACGAAAATAGCTGTCTGTGGTGACCTAAGTTTATGAAACAATGAACATGATTTCTTCCAATCCCTTTCCAAGGAGCTCCAATGCACAACAGAATATTCAAGACTGGATCAAATGCAGAAAGGAAGGTGGTTCATCCTCACATAATCCAGCAATTTCCAAACCTACCTGCTAGGCCATGCAACTCTTGTTGCTGTTGGTGTTGGCAAAGTGTTCTGAGAACAGTTTGGGGAAATAGTATTCTAGTTTCAAGAGTCAGGGAACCCCACCCAACTGTAGAGTCAAGATTTAGGGGACTGGAGAAGCTCCCCAGACACACAGCTGCCGTTGCAGAGGCCTCTATAACAAGGCTTGTCCCTGGCAACACCACTTCTGGCTCACTGGATGGCTCCAGCCAGCGAAAGTGTCAGCCCCTGTTCTGAGAATTCGTCGCCTACCCACCCATGGGTCCTCTAACAGTTGTCCACGGGTTGGTTCTCTGACTGACATGCTATGGACGATGAGACTTAAACAAAGAGGTCAATCCACCCGGGGTCACCCAGGGAGGAGTTGAAGGGGGCTGACTGCAGTCCCGCATCCCTGCCCCCCAACACCCCATCCCCCCACCCTCCCATCCTCCCTACCCCTGGCACCTCCCCACCCCTGGCAGCATTTCTCTGACCTCATCTCCTACTCAACAGCATCCCCACTGGACTAACTCTACCCCTTGTCAACATCACTGTGGTGAAAACAGCATCATCCTTATATGTAAATTCCAGCATTAAGGCTTTCTATTTCATTTTGCAATTATTAGCCTTCTTAAAATAGAAAAAGGAAACCAAGGAATGAAATCCAGACCAAAATATCCATTTCCTAGAACTCACTTTCAGATTAGTTTATAAGTAAGACTTGTATAGACATTATAACTGCTGGAGAGTTCACCTAAAAGGCGCCATTTACTGATCACAACATATTAAATAAAAACAAGGCCTTCTGCGTGGCGAACATCCTTAGTGCTAGTCACACCCACAGAAGAGTGGCCAGCGTGCAGGTTCTCGATGGCAGGAACCAAGTGTGTGGCTGTACAGTGCCAGTAAGCATCCAGCAGCTGGGTCTTAGGGAAATGTCTGTGAAAAGGGCGGATTTTCTGATCTAAATTCCAGCCTTTTTTGGAGCCATCTGGGAGCTCCCCACAGCCAGGGAAGGCCAGACAGGAGAGAAGGCGACCACCATTGGGCCACCTGCATATGGCAGCTCTGGGGGACACTTGGCCCCACACTGGCTGCAGGGAGCCATCCCGAGGACACAGTCTTTTGGAAAACTGCAAAGTTCAGCCCAGGATTAGGGCTTTGTTAGTTTCAACAGGGAGGGCAGCAACTCAGGAGGACAGAAATGCCTCCTATTTCACACAAACAGTGGTGAAAAGTACAGGGGACAGGGAAGACATTGGGAATACAACAATTTGTATTAATACACCCTCTTAAAAATTTACTGCAGAGGCAAAATTCACATTCAAAGCTCTGGTGGACAATGATGGTGATGTTGGTGATAAGATGATGCTCAAACTGAGAATCCTCTAAATGCAAGAGCTGTCAATCAGTTTGCTCCATGTAGAGAGCTGGGTTCTCACAGGGTATTCAAATCATTAATACAAAAAAAAACCTAGGGAGGGCCGGCCCTGTGGCTTAGCGGTTAAGAGTGCACACTCCACTGCTGTCAGCCCGGGTTCGGATCCCGGGCGCGCACCGACGGACCGCTTCTCCGGCCAAGCTGAGGCCGCGTCCCACGTACAGCAACTGGAAGGATGTGCATCTATGACATACGACTATCTACTGGGGCTTTGGAGGAAAAATTAAAAAAAAATTAAAAAAAAAAACCCTAGGGATTCAACACAATGAGATAAAATTAAACCATTATACAATATAGCAAATTCACAAAGCCAGAAACCTCAGGTTTTAATCAGAGCATTGCATTCTAGAGCCCATGTAGGACTTGAGAAAAGAATTTGACAGCTCTTAAGAGAACACAGAGGTAAAGCTAAGCGGCATGCTGTTGATCTGGTGGTTTTGCTCGTCGTATTTAACCATGCCAGTGTGGGAAAGCTAAAGAACAAATCTTTCCCCTGAGGGCTGATGGCAAGCTCATAGTTATTTGACAAGAATCAGGAAAAAAATGCATATTTGAGTTTTCATTAAGTAATTTAAGACTCGAATTATCTGGACAATGGCTGCCATGGAGAATTTGCCTAAAAGGATCCAGTGTCTGGTAAACCTAATGTTTTCACCTGTAGCGCCTTGCTCATCACATGCACAGAGTAGGCACTTAACTGCAGAGATTTATGGTGATGTGACTTACCTGTCCACTTGTTAGGAAACTGCACAACTTCCAAGCCACTGGGATAGGGTGTGTGCGTCGTCTGAGCACGCGCGGAGCGATAAATCTGTAAGCACCAGAAATAACTGTGTGGGGACGCAGTCTGGGTGGTCGTTTTGAACCTGGATTGAATCCAGTGACGTACTTCCTGCAGGGGGGGGGGGCCTGACCTGTCCACGGCAAGGGAGGGAGGGCACTGGAAGAGGAGCTTGTCATCAAAGCCCCAGAAGAGAAGATACGGGAACTTCTAGTTAGTCTGCGAGGTCACTGGGTGGTGGCGTAGCCCTCAGTCCTTTACCTGGGCAGGTTCTGAAACCTAAACTGCCCGGCCTCTGCCACCTGGGGGGCCTGCAGCCAGTCTAAGCCCCATTATTTCATGACGGGCATAGTGAGCACAAGCCACGGGCCCTGTGACCACAAACCACCAGCTCAGCCCAACCGTCAGCCAGCAGCTTGAGATAACACAGACAAGCCTCCACGTCCTTCAGACGTCCACGGGCTCTGCCTCTTGAATGGTCGCCCGATTGTGAAATTTCCAATCATTGTGACTCCTTTGTTTTCCAATCAAGTGGAGAAGGAACCGGTGGGAAAGAGAGCAGTTGTGGAAGAGGAAGGAAATGCTTCTTTGGCTAAGCTTGAGCAAACTGGAATAGTAAAGTAGGGAGGGGAAAGTAAAAAAACTAAAGATACAGAAACAAAAATCTATTTAATGTGTATGTTTATTTTCAGAGTGAGAACTTGGAAGGAAGAAATTTCACCCTACTCCCAGCTTTGAGAGCCTGGCACGGTCACTTCACGTGGCAACAACATCTACCCATCAGGGAAAGAGGCTGAGAGAACACGTGGAGAGAATGTATTCAAATGAAGTTGAATTATTTGAAAAAACTGCTACTGAGATTTAAGGGACTGTGCTGCTCCAGTGTCTTGGGGGTATTCTTCTCGCATGGATAATTTGTCCAAAAGGGAGCTGGAAGCAGAGCACGCCTATTTCTCCATCATTACAGTAACGACCAAGTTCTACCAAGGGCTCCTTTCAGGGCCAGTTGTCCCTCGAGACAGACAGTGTGATAGAGAAGAGCAGTGCCTGCTCGGTAGACGCCCTGGTGAGGCACACTCTTGCTTGCCTCCAATGACTTTTCACTGTGACCGTGCAAAAGATCACGACGGAGAGAATTTCCTTCCAAGGACTGCACTGGGGTCTTGTTCTCCCTGGCATCTCGTCTTCCTCAGTTTTTGGATTTGTCCTAGTCTTTGCATCTCTACACACTCTCCTGAGTCTTTGCCTCTCTCTGCCCTCCTGAATCCGGTAAGAAACAGCTATTTGTTACCCCAAGGTGAGAGAAACTCAGGGTTCAAAATTTACTAGAGTCGAGGTAGGTTACGAGATCAGTATCACATATTATTCATTTGGTGGTGACATAATACAAATCCACCATTCAAATGGGGTCTTCCAGACTCTCTGTTTGCATTGCCTTGTGAAAAAGGGGATGTGTGGGTTAGCTCAGGCCAATGAAAACACACATGGTGGGTGATACCACTCCAAGCGTCTAACATCAGCCCTTAGGAATGGCCAGAAGGCTTTAGCTGGGGTAAAATTACAGAGCAATAAGCAGATCCCTCTAATTTAAACAGATAAAACAAAAAAACCAGAGATAAGCTCTGCAGTCATTAGAACTCCCAGGGCCTTGCACCTCTGAATGTTTATCCCAAAGCTTGGGCAAAAACAATGAGGTTGGTTATTCTGAAAAAGACTTTTTTAAAGAAATGTATAGAGTACAATTTGGTAATGTTTCAATACTAAAAGAATGTTATCGATCTACTACAAACCTACCCTTATCTCCAGGCCTTATTTACAACGATTGTTCGTAAATTACCAAGTTTTCTTAAGCTAGAATCAAGCTAAACCTTGAATTATCTGGATAGTTGCCTGTCCGGAGATCTTGCCTATAAAACCCCCAAATTCCGCTGAATCTATTTCCCCCCATATATAATACCCTAACACAATAGTTGTGCCATTTGTCCTGTTGGGGCATAGGTGTATCATGGCTCCCCAATATCAAGCGAGCCTCCAACCACGACAGTCTGCTGCTCACCTCCATGTATAAGTCATCCACCTTGACCAGTTAGAACCGTGGAGATACCAGCTATCAGTTAGTGAGCATGTAACATGTACCAAGCAATACCTGCGTGCTATAAATTTAGTCCTTATAATAATATATAATGGGTTTTCCCAACCTCAGCGCAAATGACAATCTGAGTCGGATAGTTCTTTGTTGGGGGACCATTCCATGCACCCCTGGCCACCAACCACTAGACGCAATAGCACCCCTACCATCCCCAGTTGTGACAGCCAAGTGTCTCCAGACATTGCAAATGTTCCTGGGGGGCAAAAAAATTGCCCCCAGTTAAGAACCACTGACCTATAAAATAGGTATTTCCTGACTTGTTAGACGCAGAAACAGATGCCTGATGAGATTAATTTGCTCACATTCTACACGTAGTCACTGATAGAGATTCAGCCCCAGCTCCCTGGGGCTCCAAGGCCCATGTTTCCTGCTACACCCAGCACCCAGCAGGCTGGTGGTTGCTGGGAGACTGGTTCCTCCTCCCATGGGACTGTGTAAAAGCTATCCGACTGAAGAAAGGAAAACCATCTCCTTCGATCTGATCTCCAGCCTGTACTAGGTATGAGTTCCTGATTCTGCCTAATTTTGCTGCAATACTAAAGCTAATTCGATAATTAACACACATTTACCAAGTGTTTACTATTGTGTTTCTAGAGAAGCCGAGACAGGGGCGTCATTTAGTGTGCTGTGTCATTTAATCTTCATAAGCATCTTTTGAGTTGGTTTCTAATATCAACCTCATTTTACGGAGGCTAAGAGAGGCCTACCAATTCACAACCAGGAAGGGTGTCGGTGGTGATTCTCACTTCGACATGGAAACCTGAGGTTCCAATCAACTAAGAATCTCACCTGCCCAAGTGCATCCATAACTAGAATAGCCCAGTTGACGAAAAGTTTGTCTTCTGACCTGTTCCTGCCCACCCCCCATCCTTGAGACTCTAGAGGAAAAAGAGTTCAGATGGGCTAAAATTTTCTTAATAATTAGGTTGGTTTTGATTTTTTTTTAAAAAGACAAATATGTAGGTTGTACACACCACTCTCTGGTCTGGTAGGATCTTCTTCACGTCTCCATTGAAAAACCGCAGGATGGTGGTCTTCTTATCAGCGCGGGTGTCCTTCTCCACGCCTTTGGAGAAGGGGATGACTTTACAGCTGTCGCCAAGTGCCTGCTCCACCTTCATGGAAACACAAAAGTTTTGAAATGAGAAATACTTAAAGCATGATTGTTTTGGTTTCATTATTTTTTCTTCCATTCAGAATCATTATATGCCTATCACCTGCATGACATTGTTGACACCAATTGTTATATTTCCACAAATAAATACTCACTAAATTTATTAGCTCCAAATCCCCATCCCTGAATTTGGTTATGAATAACGAACGTCATGATTTGCCCTACAATGTCTGTTTTCCTTAAAGTCGTGTTATGCAAATTTGCCTAGATTATCAAATTATTAGTTGACAGTCTAGATAATTCATGGCCATTAAATTGGTGAATTTGAAAATCCTGGGCCATATAAATTGCAGTAATTACTGTGTAAACATTAATCCTTGTACATTTTCTTTCCATCCCTTCCCTTAGATCCATACACTCCTCTACCCTGTCCCAAAGATTTACCAATTTCAATTAACAATTGGAAAATGTTACATAACTTCATATGCATAAGGCTGAACTAGGAATTTAGAAAAGAATATCTTTGTCTTCAAATTGAAAATATTGTTTATGTAACGATGAACAGAAGGGAAAACACTGGCAGAAATAATATCAAGATTTTGGGAGTTAATATCTGAGCATGAGAAAAATGATACCAAACCTCTTAATCTCAAGCTCATGTGTCTGATGTACAGCAAGCCAAACACTGAGACATCGGTGATTGAAGAGGGAGAAAGGTTTTATTCGAATAGGCCAAAATGAGAAGGCGGCAGCACTGGTTTGCTCAAATCTGCCTTAACAAGAGCAGAAAGCAGGGGTGGTTTATAGAGCTAAGGGGCTTGGCAGGAGGAGCTTCAGAGAAACAAAGGGGTCAGTCCTGATAAGCCCCTGGGCAATGTGACTTCTGGGCTTCAGTGTCTGCTGAGGGCCGGCCATCTGGTGATCGCAACCTCACCAAAGGCTTTCTCTTTCTTCTACAAAACAAACTCACAAATCCTCGAGACCCGAGTCACCCCTCAAGTTAAACAAGAAAACAGCAAATTGATAAGATTCATCTATGTCTGTGTTGGGAACAAGGTCAAAAGGCAATCAAGTTCTCACTGAATATCTACAGTGACCCTCAGGTACCCGGTTTCAAAAACTCCAAGTGGTAAACTGTTGTCATTGATTACATTACCTTGTTACTCTTAACCATAACTCAGGAATAAAGGAGTTAACTCAACTGAGAAAATATACGGGGAACTGAAAGCCAATGCTTGGCTTCTGAAAATGTCTTGGGCAACCGGTCAAACAGAACCCGATGGTGCACACCACCTGGGGGCCAATGCAACAGCCACCTGGTTTGAGGTTTGAACTAAGACCACTTGTTAGCCCTGGTCCCAAACCAACTAGGTAAATGAAGCAAGGTTGTGTTCAGTTCAATCTCAGAGTAACTGCTTAACCAACAATAAAAATTCCAACGAGGTTTAAAGGACGAATTATCTCAGAAATGAAAAAGCACACATAATGTTTTAAATGTTCCACACAAAAAAATAAAAAAAATCAGTTATAATTTTTTGAATTTACATTATAAAAAGAAAGAAAAGAGCAAGCAAATAAGCAAACAGAGAATTTCAGCATATCCAGTGCCAGGCATGCAAGAGACAGATACGGGGTGAGAGCTAAGAGGAAGTGGTAAGGTAATGGAGGAGAACGGAAGGAGGTGGGGGGCAAGAATATAGGGGCAAACAGGTGGATTATGCTTAGAAGAGGAAAGAGTGGGTCAGCTATCTTGCACCCACAGCCTTAGAGGTGTCCTGAGATTGAGTGATTGATTCATCCAAGTACTTATTCAAGAAATATTCAGGGGAGCCAGCCCTGATGGCCTAGCGGTTCAAGTTCAGCGCGCTCCACTTCGGCGGCCTGGGTGTGGTTCCTGGGTGCGGAGCCACACCACTCATCTGTCAGAAGCCATGTTGTGGCAGCAGCTCATATAGAAGAACCAGAAGAATTCACAACTATATACTGGGGTTTGAGGGGGAAAAGGGAAAAAAAAAAAAAAGAAGGAAGATTGGCAACAGGTGTTAGCTTAAGGTGAATCTTCCATAAAAACAAAAAGAAATATTCAAGGAATATCACTTAATTCTCATGGATCTACCTGTTGAGATGGTAGGATAAAGTATTTAAATTATGTGGGGTTTTTCTTCCCCTGAAAAATCTATATAACAAACATTTTATCTGCTTATAAGAGTATTAATCCACCTTTATTTAGGGCAGAGTAAACTCAACAAAGCAAGGATGAGGAGGACTCCTAGCTTCTGAAAGTCCAATGAAACAGGCTCGCGATGACTGAGCTGGCGGGCTGAATAAGGAGCTGGGCCCTCCCTGTTCCGGGCATTACACAACACTGCCTTCTCTGCGAGCTTACACCACACCAGCTGCTGCGGCTGACGCCTGTACCTTCTCCCTGCTTCCTGGGACAGCAGCCCCCACCGTGGATGCATCCTTCAGGACCTGAAGCTCTCCTCAAGAGTTAAATGTGGCAGCTGACAGAGATTGAGGCTATAAGAGGCAAATTATGTTTAAAATTTCTTTTTGCTCCTGGAAAGCGTGTTGCTTTATTTACTGGAAATAAACTGTCAGCCAACAATGCTGGAAACATCTCCCATAGCTGCTTGCCTGGCCTCGAGTCAGAGCCCCTTGGTCAGTCCTGATGGAGCGGAAGGACAACGCACACAGGAATTCAGCCTGGGGAGGCAGGAATGTCTGCGGCAGCCCACCTTGCCATCCGGGTGTTGCATTTCTTCTTCTCCTTCCTCCTTTTTTGTCTTAGTGTCCACATGTTGTAATGTATTTTGGGAAGATACCGGTTCTACAGGAAGATTCTGCAGAAAGAGAATAATCATCGTGTCACGAGGTCTCTGTGAAAGCTGCAGTTATGAGGGGGAGGAAGCACGTCCCCCCAACCTCGCAGCATCTTGCTGGGCAGCGAGCAAAGCTGTGCTCCAGGGGATCGGCGCCAGCACTCTGGGCCACGTTTTGTGTTTTTGCGAGGATGTATATCCCCAACTTCCTTGTTTGTTTGAGCTGGGCCAGGATGATCACGGGACAACAATGATTTCCAATAATGACGTAACGTCCTAATCCAGAAACCACCCCAAGAGCTTGTGGAGTTGCTTTCTGGGGTGCTGAGGCAGTGTATTTAGAAACTAGACCAGCCTGATTCAAAATAAAATAAAACCCAGAGAAAAACGTTACCACTTATCATCTCCTTCATGATGTCGGAAAGGGCAAAATAGGATGTGGGCTCTTCTTGGGAGAAGGGAAGAGCAGGGGGACCCACGCTTCTATATTTTCTCACCACTTGCCCACTTTTACATCCTAAACAAGTTTACAGCCCAAATTTCTTCCCACAGAGAAAATTATTTCATTTTCTTGACATTTGTCATTAGATATAGTACGTAATAAGTGGACTGCTACCTGGGGCTTAGAAGTATTTTTGCTCTATTTGACTTTGATTCTATTAATTTAGGTTAAAAATTATAAATAAAAATAATATAAAACTCTGATTTGGGGAACTCTTAAGGGATGCAAAAACATCAGTCTTGTTTTGACTTTGTGCTAAAGGCAATCAACGTAAAACTAGAAAAAAAATAATGTTTCTACTTATTGGAAAGGCTGAACCTCCTCAGAAAGGAAGGGAGCATTTGGAATCGTCTTAGTTTTCTGTCCTCCCCAGGAAGATGGGAGAGGGGAACAATCCCTTACTGCTGTGGGGACAGGCACCCACCCACCTGGGGCTCGGCAGTGTTCAGGGAAGACCCAGTGCACTCCTCAGCCTGAGCCGGGGTAGGAAACCTGCCCTCAGAACTCTGGGAGGGCGATGGGCACACATCTACAAAAGCAAAGAAGTGGAGTTTAACAGGACAGTGCACACACATCTTGAAAATATCATTATCCTAATGCAGTTTCTACTTCTGATTTCAACTCACTGTGAACACATTCTCTTTTTTTCATGAGATTACTACACAAATAGAGAGTCAGTTATAAGAACAAAGGATCAGTCAACAGCACGTGATATTTGATTATGTAAGAAACATGAAGTATTTAGTGAATATATTCAATAAATATCTACTGGACTTAATAATTTTTCAAGTATTAAGATGGTTTGGAAGATGAAGGTGAAAAGGTCTTGTCTCTGCCTTCAAGCTGCCTATGGTCCAGTGTGGAGATGGACACAGAAGGGAAACACGGGTCCATGCGATAGTTGGTTTGTTGGACCCAGAGGCCGGGTGGAGAAGCGCCCTCGGCAACCAGGGGAGTCGGGGAAAGCGTCACCAAGAAGGTATTGATTATCAAGTGAGACCATACGTGGAGGTTTCAGCCGAGGGCGGAGGAGGTGTTCCGCTCTGCAAGTCAGTAGCGGAAAGCGCGAAGGCTCCAGTGGGTGAGCTGAGGTCGTTTGGAGGGAGCGGGAGGAGGGGCAGCAGGGGAGCGAGGTGGCGGGCAGGTACAGGCTGCAGGTGGAGTCTGGCCTGCCACGCAGAGGAACGCAAAGCTCTCGGAGGCGTGAGGAGCCGCGGGCGGGTTGGAGCCCTGGAGTAACCCGTCAGCCTCCTGTTTATGAAGCTCACCCCGGCGGAGGTGAAGATGGAGGGCAGGAAGACTGTCAGGTGGACTCAGAGAGACAGTGGGGTGCTTGGCCGAGCAGGAGGGTTGAGAAGGGGAGAATTGAGAGTCAAATCGAGGGAGCAGGGCCTAGCTGACCTGGGGGGTGGAGGGGAGGGAGGGGTCTGAATGGTCCTCACGTCTCAGGTCTGGGGGACTGACGGCGGCGGGATGGCATCTACTAAGAGGCCTGGCATTTGGGGACAGAGGTGAGTCAGCAGTTCAGGCCTGAGGAAGCTAAGAGCTCCTATTCTGGCCGTTGAGTTTGCAGGCCCCACATGTGAGGGGCGCCCCCCACATCGTAGGCACCGGGGTCATGAGGACAGGTGCCAGCAGGTGTTGTGTAGGGGGTTGTGCTAATTTTCTGATGGCGACTTGAGGAAGGGGGCTTCTTCCCCAACTGGCCCAACGGTGCTCTTTGGTCCTGCTGTGGGACCCCAGATGCAGAAGGCTCTGCACAGCGATGCTGACAGCCCTGGAGCTCAGGAGAGAGGGGGCAGAGGCCAGACTAGGAGTGTTCCACCGAGGGGGCAGGGATGCCCCAGGCAGACACGAGACTGCCTGGAGGCTCATGCAGAGAAAAGGGAGAGGCCGAGGCCAGCCACCTAGAACAGCTCCCGGTATATGTTGCGAGGGGGTTGGGAGTGTTGGCAAGACTGACAGAAGAGGACCCAAGAAGCGACTCGGAAAAGGAGTCAGAAACGAGGATGTTCCGTGATCTGTGCGCACTGGCCGCAGGAAGACTCTGAGCAAACACTTCCACGTAATGAAAGCCCACATCTTAAAGCAAGCAGCAAAATAGGAAGCAGAAGTCCTCATGATCTCACCGTTTCCGTCCGCTGCTGGCTTGTCCTCCTTGAGCGCCGCAACATGAGCAGCTGGCACCGGGGACTTTCTGCCGCTTGATTTGTGCAGACTTCGGGAAGATTGGTGTGCAGCCTAGATACAATGACAGTCACAACCTGACACCGTCACTCCAGCTGCGGTGCCTCAAGATCAAAAACTGGATGCTGCAGGAAGCCGTTTTAACTGTAAATGTGTTTCAATAACGTCCCAGGACTCCATCAGAGCACCGCACCCAGCTCCACGAGATACGCCATTTTTACACAGAGAGCATGGCGGAGCAAGGCATGGTCAATTCAGCTAGTTTACTTTTTTAGCATTAAAGACAAATCTGGAGAAATTCAATTGTTTTTATCTATGGAAATGGAATTATTCTAAATAAATTTAAACTATTTTGAATAATAAGTTGAGTATTCTTGTTAGACCTCTGTGGAATTTTATCTAAATATAAATTTTAAACATGACCATTGGTACTATTTTCTAACGTTACCTTTTCATCCTCAAAGGCAGTTGGTGTTTCTTCAGAGGGAATATCCCTCCCAGTAATCATTGCACTTCTGATTTGGAGACTTCTGGAAAGAGTTTTATCTCCGTCTCCATATGATATTCTTTTCCCTGAGTCAGCTCTTTCTATCTTTATATTTATTGGCTGAAAATAGATGTGGGGGTACTTTTGCATTAATAACAAGCATATTATCCAAAAATATCAATAAATACATCGTGCTGGCTGTCACAGAAGCTAGACTATTACAACCCTGTTTCTATACCCTACAAAGTAGAACTCTTGGTGTATCTCATTTTCCATTTTATAGCCCATGTTCTTGTGGAATTCAGGAAAGTCATGATTGATCCTGTAGAACAGGTTTGCCATCACAGCAAAATAAATTGCTCAAAACTGAATTTAAAAATGTATAAAAGAAATTTTTTTCTACCTTCTGTATTATTCAAAAATTGATCGTTTTGAGGTATGGATAAGCCGGTTATTCATTCACTCATGCATATATTTATTAAACAATTATATTGCCTGCATCTAATTAATTCAGTTCAATATGGGAACATAAGAGAAGGCTGCATCTCAAAGGAAACCAGATGGTCTGCCCAGTTCATCCCTGGACTCAGATGCTGTCTACTCAAATGATCCAAAAAAGATACTTCTCCTACTTTTAATAAATGTCTGGATTAGGAGATTCCAGACCCTCTGACAAGGAATAAAATATTTCCTGCTGAGTAGTCACATTGGGAAGGCATGTCAGAACCCTAGAGCATCTTCAGGAGCTCAGGGGTCTTCTCAGGGCAGGTCAACCCCATTATCCGGTGCTGGATGGGCACACAGACAGGCTCCCAAGGGTGAGGCTGACACAAACCCAGGGTGGTAGCAAATAGGCTGGCTGGCAAAATATTCTAAACAGGAGCTAACTTTAACAAGGAAAATCCAGTAGAGATTGGATAGCATCCTGCACAGAAGCCCCGAAACAAACAGCATGAGCTCCACACGGAGAAAACCCGTGTTGAAGCAGAAGGTGCAAGCAACAGCCGTGACCTGGAAACACAGGGCTTTAAAGTCAAGACATTAAAAGATCTGGCTGCTTAAAAACCCCGCCTTAGGCTGCATTAATAGATTAAAGCCCATAACCCTGGGGTGCCAGCCCTCCCGCCTGTGGTCGGCCCTCGCCAGGCTCTGCTGTGAGCGCTCAGAGGAGAGTGGGGTGGGAATCCTGCCATTATAAGAACGGCTCCTGCAGGGAGGCAGGGTTTCACGATGAGATGCTGGTGGGACACGCGAGTCTGGGTACTTGACCTCCGCTTCCTTTTACAGGTTATAAACACTGAGGATCACCTGGGAGGAAGTTACATTTTTAGATGACAGCCTTTGTCCTATGAAAGTAACATTCTGACTTCTGCGGCCAGCTGGTTTGGGTGTTATTTCTTCATCAGCTGACAGAGGTGGAATTTTTCCAAAAGTAGATTCTGATACCTAAAAGGCAATTGATCACAGACAAATCTCAGGGGGAACCTTCACATCTTCAGAGGTATAGTAACTGTAAGATAAACTTAAATTTTAATCCATTCAACAATAATTGCAATGTCCTAGGGAAAAAGTAAGGACTCAATGGGGGGGACTTGGGCTAGTTTCTCTCCCTTGATGTGTTGAAGACTGTCACGGAACACAACACACCACAAACACGGGGCCACTGTGTGCTTTGTGTCTCTCACTGTTGTCCACTAATTCAAAATATCCCAGGTTACCAGAAGCAACAAAATAATCAATACCCAAATTTATTTCCTTGGACTATGTGTCTTCTACTGAGAACGTATTAAAGGATGAAAATGTGACCCTGTTTCTAGTGCTGTCTCTCACAATTCATCAAAGGTTTAAATGCAAAATCTCAAGCTTCCCAGCTCAAAAGCAAACAGCAGGTCCTTCGGGTAGAATGCAGTGTTTCTGGTTATTCTCCACTCAGCCCTCTGGGGAGGGGGTGTGGGTAGCCGAGAGGGCTGGTACAGCCTTTCATCCCATTTCCAAAGTGGCTCATCCACGGTCATGACTTCTGTCCTGGGCTCACGTGTGTCACTGGGTTTTTGATGCTCTGCCCCTAAAATTGTGTCTCCACGCAGACACACCTGTATAGTACGTATCTAAAGTATGGAATTCACGTGTCCATCCTGGTTTTTTCAAGTCAGTTGTGTCCTTCTGAGAGTAGATGCCGTCCTTGTGAAGAGCCCCATGACCCTGTGACCAGCACCGTGCACAGAGCACAATGTTTGGAAATTCACCAAGCAAATGAGCTCAAAAGTAGAGGGTGTGTGTGTGTGTGTATGTGTGTGTGTGTGTGTGAGTCGTTGTGCCTCATCAGAAATATCCTAACTCCTTGAACTGTAGACTTGAAAGTCCACACAATAAGTGCAGATAAGAAATGTCAGGACTTTCCTTAATCCACTAGAAAATACCCCCACTTATATTTTGAGGGTATTTACATGATTTCATGTGGACATCTGTGCATAAAACTTGAATGATTCCAGTTGCATAGATACGTATGCAGGAAGTAGAATACAGACATAAAACAGACAAAGCAAGAATGCTCTGGCCACAACCTCTTCAGCACATTCTCTTAGTCCTACGACCCAGACATGGAAGTTACGTACAAGCAGGCTCACGTTTAAAGGCACCAACTACGTCTATCTAGGAATACTGACTCCTCCTTTGAGGTGAGGCAGGGTGGTCTGTATTCCATTTCTATAAAGCTGTCCCGGTGCGTGAACAGAGCAGCTGAGGTCCTGGGAGCGGATCACGGGGTCAGAGAGCTGGGTCCAAATCCAGGCCCTGGGGTTCCCCAGCCACATGACCTAAAAGGAGTTAGTAATAGAATCTATCACATGGGGTCATTGTAGTGAGTGAATAGGAATGCAAAGCACATGGCCAGCCCGTGTAAAACCCCCAGCAAGTGTTTGCTGCTGCTGTTACTAAATGCCGGAGCAACAGTGGGAGGCCTGATCACTCCAAGACTTATTACTCATTATTTGTGGGAAACGGAGTTGATTAAAAGGTAGCCCTCTCACTTCCTGGAGGGTCAGAGATACCACGGTGCCCCCGTGAAGAAGCACACCTTTCTTAATGACGTTACTTCTAAGTAAAATAAAGAAGCCTTTTGGTACCAGAGCGTCTGATTTCCTTCTCTCGTGAAGGGAGGCCGCACGCGTCTTTTTGGCTTCTAGTCGCTGCAGCTCTGAGGCTCTGAGTCCATCCCGCAGCTCCAGGTTCTGTTTCATCAGAGCATCTATCTGGGCCTGGAGTGTGCCATGAGCCGCAGACCACCGAGACTCCTGCCTCCTGAACTCTTCCTGCAGTTCGGTGACCTGCCGCCGTAATCACTGTGGTGCGGAAGAGAACACCAGACAACCTCAGACCTCACGGCCGGGGCAGGTGTGTGGGGGCCCTGACATCTGAGGAGCTAAACAGACCAATGATACCTTTATCCATTTTTATTAAGTAGCGTCCGTTATGAATTATTCCACATGATATAACCAGATAAAGATGGTTAGTGAATTATTGTTCTTTGTTAAAACATTACTGGGGCAAAAAGAGGCTGAGAGTTCTTTCATGTTTTTGTTCTTAATCTTATCTTTAGGGGTCGGTACAGCAGGGAGTGAAGAACACGAGTTTCCAAATGATTCAGACCTAGATTGTAATCCTAGCTTCACCACTTCCTTGCTGTGTGACCTTAGGTAAGTCACCTAACCTCTCTGGCCCTCAGTTTCCTCTTCTCCAAAATGGTGATACAAAATTACCTCAGATTGTTATTTTGAGAATTGAAACCTATGCTGAATATAGAACTCCCAGTACAGAGACTGGGAAACACCGAGTAAGTGTTAGTTGTGAGTTTTGTACCTACTTCATTCAATTATCCCCATCTTAATGTCACACAGCTTTTCACTTTAATATACAAAACAGACTTAAAAATAAAAGAAATACTAGTCATTGGGCATAATAAAGGAAATGTTCAAAGATGTTTCAGAAAGAAGCTTTTAATCTGCCTATGTTAGAAACAATTTGATAGAGAACTTTAGAATAAAGAAAATAAGTTATAAAACTCTAGAACTCGAGAAAAGTATTTTCTTATAAAGATTATCTCTGAGAAGTCATTAGCATCACATTGCAAATGAACTATTAAAAGAGAAAATACAATTTGAGAAGAAATCAGTGATTGTATTATTCTTTCGACTTATTCTAGAAGAGGGGAAAAGTAATTGCATCCTAATTTTGAATTAAATTAATATTCTTTCCCTCCCCAGGAATTATCCTAATAAGACTAAATTTGTGAAGACTGGCGATGGAGAGCTTTGCGGCAGAGGGTGAAGTTGGCAAGGAACTGGGGAGCCTGGAATGATTCTCTGTCAGTCAAATCGCTGGTCCCTTTCCCGGCATGGAATCGCACCGGAGACGTTTCGGGTAAAGGCACAGGGAGGAGGGAGGAGCAGAGGTCCCAGCGGATGTGCGAGATGAGTGCCTCCGCTCACAGGCGAGGAGGGAATGAAGTGCCACAACCAGGTCATGCCTGTGAGACTCCTGGCGTGCTGCCCACTCTGGGGGGAGTCTCGCCCACCCTGGTGACCAGAGCCGGGACCTGGAGACAGTGGTTCTCACGTTACGTGCTCCATCTTCTTGGATGCTCACAACCAGCCTGTGAGAGGTGTTATGATCCCACGTCGCCGAGGAAGAGATGGGGCAGCAGTGTTTCGCGGACTCCAGTTTCATTCTGGTTTTCCCAGGGTGAGAAGCAAGCACAGCATGAAAATTCACGACGATGGCCGCATCACCACTTCCGTTACAGAAGTACCATTTACTGAGCATTTGCTTAGCATTTGCCTAAACACTGGGCACCTGCTCTCCAAATGTTATCTTGTGTAATTCTGAAACAAGCCTTTGTGGTAAGTGCCACTATGATCTCCAGCTTAGGAATCACAAAACTGAGGCTCTGGGGGCCGGTCACCAACCCAAGGTCACAGGGTTAATAAGTTGGGGACCCTAACTTTGAACACAGAAAGGTCAACTCCGGAGCTGGCGCTTCTTCTCAATGTTTTTTCCAAGCATTTATCACCTTCCAATGTATTAGTTACTTGTTTATTACGTCTATCGTGCACTTTCTTTCCATCTTCCTTCAATACTACGGTGTGAATTCCTCAAGAAGGGGTGTAAGTGAACATAAGTGAGGCCATCTTGTTACATTAAATAGCCCTTTCTTCGTTGGAACCTTTCTAGCATGTGGTCATTATAGATTGCTGCACACTCTCATGATTTTCTGGCCCTGATCCTGTGCACCTACCCCTGCTGAGGTCCTCTGACAGCTTTGTTCGTAACAATTTTAATGAACTTTCCTGGGGAATAAGAAGGCGTCCAGGAAGAAAGAGCACCCGTAGAACATTCAACATCATTGACAGAAGAAATGAACAACGAGAGATCCTGGAGTCTGTCTTGTACACGTCTGAACCCCCTCCTTAATGCTCATTTTCCCTGTATAACTGCCTCAAGATTTTGTAATCCTTGAACGTGGGTTTTTGAGACATTAGTCACCCATTTTCCAATTTGCCTGCTAATCTAATCTAATTAAACTCTCTTTCTAGATCCCTAACTCGTGATGACGAATTGGCTCAGACCGAGGAGAGCAGAGAGTGCCCATTGCTCCATATCACTGCGACTGACTTGCCATCCCCTGATGCATCCCAAGAACTCCAAATAGTGTCTGGCACACCGCAGGCACTCCATGAAGACTGTCAAATGCTTGAATTCTCCTAGTTTTAGCAAGCTTGGGAAGACAGAGAGAAGCTGCCATTGGGGGAGGGGTGGGAGAAAACAAGAGTGTAGCTGAAGATGAAGAGAACAGAGGCAGAGAAATCTCAGACTCAGAGGACACGGAAGGTGCTAGATGTCCACCAGAGGGGAGGGGTCAGGGAGAGTCGGGCACCAGGCTCAGGGATAAAGCCGCGCATCTTGTGCCTCCCTCTGGGTCCAGCCCTGGGCTGTTTGATGGAAGGGGTTTAAGTGCTTAACTGTCAGCATGATCCACGAGGAAGCCCTTTTCCCTCTCTGGTTGTGAGGAGCTTTCCTCACTGTTGTCACACTGTCCCTCATCACCTATCCTTTACGGGCAGTCATGGAAGGATGAGTAGGACAGAGCTTTAGACTGGTCTATGACACTCCAATCTGGACCCTATTTGAAGAGAAGTTGGAAATATCACCCAGACCTCCTAAGTCGCAGTGTTTACACCCGAATCGAGAATTGTGTTTTCTCCTGCATCACATGGTGTTGTAAGGGTCATGTAAGGAGTTCCACTCCACCTCTGCTGGGGGCCAGGCTGAGCTTCTGTTGGGTTTCCGTTGACTTGTCCACTTGTCCATCTCCCCTACCAGACTCTGAGCTCGATGCTGAGGTGGGGGCTCCTCACGTGGGTTTGGGGCTGCGTCCACCCTGTGCCGGCTCAGGGACCTTAAGCCGGGTGTGAGCCGCCCCATCTCTCCATCAGTGACATGGGATCCGAACACCTCTCACAGGTCAGTTGTGAGGCTCCAAGATGATGGAGCACATAATGTGCTTCAGGCAGGGCCTCAAAAAATGGTTATTATCCATGTTCTATGGCTAATACTTCTGAATTCCCAGAAACACAAGCAAAAACCCTGTGTTGCATTGGGATGGATATTTTGTCAGCTGTTTAGAAATTAGCAGAAGCCACAGCATTTTAAACCCAACATGCTAGCCCTTCCACGGGATCCTTCCTCTGACCCTGTGTTTCAAGGATAAACGAGACTGACAGAAGATACAGTCCTGCACTGTGTGATCACAGCCACTGGACAGATGACACAATGGACAAGGCGACATCTAGGGGCTTAATGGAAACAGAGCATGGACAAAAAGAGACACTCTCCTAGGGGTCAAGTGTGGATGCTGATAGAGTTCTAGAAGTTTGGTGGATGACTTAAGTGATGTGAACATAGTGATTTTTTTAACCAAGTTTTTACAGTCTTATGCCTTCTCTTGGGTTAGGGAAGTTAAGCTGAAATATTAAAGTTTAACTTCCCGTCCTGCCTCTCACCTATCAAGACATAAAGTTGCAGAAGGGAAGGAACTGTGTGCCCCTCCTAAAAGGAAGCAAATATCGACGTCCATGTGAAAGCATTACTGAAACAGTCTCGCAAGATGAGAAGCAAAGGGAACCCTGAATGCTGGGTCTCAGGGGTTGGGTCCGGATAAAAGCCGGTGAGACTAAGTCGACACACGAGCCCCACGGCACCGGGCGTCCCGGGGCCCAGCATCGCCTGGCTCACCAGCATCTCCTCAGCCCGGCTGTCCTTCCTGGAGAGTCCAGCCGTCTTCTCGGGGTGGGTCCTGGGCCTGCTGTCCTCTGAGCTGCCCATCTCTGCTGGCTCGTTGGCCTCCACGTGAGCCCTCAGCATTCTGGAGGGAAGGAGGAGGCCGTCAGGAGCCGTGGCTGAGGTGGTGGGGCCTCCCCCTCCAGTATAGGATGGAGTGACACCTCCTCATCACAGTCCATCTCCCCCTAATGCTTACAACTGACCCCAGGAAAAAGCCATCTCAGTGTCTGGGAACCACAGAACAGCCACACGTGGCCTCTCCTTGGCAATTTATAAAAAACGCTTTAATTCATAGAAAATCAGCCTGACACATAATGGACTCTGGCCCTCCGCGTGATCTCGCCGTGATCAGGATTGTCGCAATGGGAAATTTAGGGAACCCTCAGCTCTGTAATTGGTGCGAGCGGAGTAGGCCCCACTTAGACAATCCAAACAGACCCTTCCACTGTGTTGGATCCAACGCTTTTCTAACGCCTCCAGCAGGTGAGGTTTGGATGGACTGGGGAAGCCGCCCTGCAGGCCTGGCCCCTAGACAGGCAGGGAGAGGCTGCCACCGTGCACCAGACCCTTCCCGAAACAAAACGAGAGAGGGCTTTGTTAGTGCACAGCCTCTCTCTGTGTGTGAAGACACGGCACGGAGACCGTCTTTCAGAGGATGACATTTCTGTCCCTAACGTGAAGCTCACAGCAATTAAAACAAAACAAGGAAAACAAAGGTCCCCTGGGAGTGTAAGGCCTCTCGGCTGACTCACTGCCCTGCTAGTTGAGGAAGCCTTAACAAGAAGAGGACTACCGGCTGACTCAGAAGGAGACTGTGACTTTCTCCACACAGAGAACTGGGGGAGGGGGTCGGTTAACACACGACTCAACTCATTACCAACTTCGCCTGTGTGTAAACAGAAATGTATTTACTGTAAACTTCGAACTGTAGATAAACATAAGAATGAACGATTAACCACGGTGATGGAAGAATAAGCTGGTTGAAAGTGTTTGTTTCCTGATAAAAGATAATCAAATATACCAACAGCAAAGACAACAAAGAACCTAGCAATTCCATTCTTTCTTTCCCAGTTGGGTTTTACTGAAGTCTCATTCAGAAGTTGGCTTGAGTTTATCATTCTGGTAACCCTGAATAAGGCACTTCTTTCCCATTTCTCTAAAAGAATAAATATCCCAGTGTCCTTGGCCCCAAACTCTTAAACCCCTCAGTCTAGGGGAGACCCCTTCTCTCAGCCTAGTCCTAGCCTAGTCACCTCGCCTAGTCCATGGTGGTCACTTGGGCCAGGATCCTGTTCCTCTCGGCCATGTCCCCCCTCCACTGCTCCTGACACCTCCCTCCCTCCAGTCTCAGAACACAGTGGACTGATTCTAAACTGACTCCCTCTCTTAAAGGGGCATACCCTTTTCACACCTCCCAGTACTCCATCAAGCTTTCTGATTTCATAAGCTTAAATTATAATTGAATATTTACAAATATGTGATTTGCATATAGTAAGCTCACAGTTAGTGGAATATATCTACCCACACAGGAAACTGGAGATGGCAAAATTCCCCCTCCCAACTGACCCCCCAAAAATGTGTTTAATACCAAGTTTTCAATATGCAATGTATAGTAAGAACTCATTTCTCTTAGCACACAATCTTGAAGAAATATAAACTGTCTTTTGATGTCAAAACAAATTATTTGCTAGAAGAGATGTTCACGAGGAGAGAATAAGATACGGGAGTTTAAAGAGGAGAAATGATTCAAAGTGTCATCATTTCACAAAATGCCTCCCCATCTAAATGGTCCGTTTGATTTTTGTGATAATGAAGAAGACGAGGAGTTGGGGAGTTAATGTTTGGTGTTAAATGTTAACCATCATTTCTCATGAGCAGTCCTGCATACGTAATAATCAAATATTTAGAAAGCCAGCAGAAGGAACCTTCTGGACATGCATGCATTCTATGCAGTGTAAGAGTGATCCCGGGGCCCTGGTCACAGCTGTGCTGCAGGACAGCCTTCCAGCTGCATCAGGGTCCACCCAGCTGCTCCCAGATGTCTGTGACCAGCCCTTGTTCTACTTCCTTCCACGGTTCCAAGTTCACGTTCTTGGACTGGCCTCTGTTAGGCAGGGGCGGCCAAGCGCCCAGTGCTGTGGACTGTGCTGTCTGATAGTCACACTGTCTGTCCTACAGCCCTGCCATCACCGGGACCCTGGCCTGGGTGAAGAGTCCCTGCAGGACAGCTCCAGCCACACAAAGCTGGACGTGCAGAGGAGGCCTGAGAAGCCCTCACTCAGTCGTTCTGGACGCCGCTGTGCCCTGTACCTGCTGGGGAGGCCAGGAAGCACGCTGCGCTGGAGGGAGCTGCAGAGCTGGGCCGTGCGCTGTCTGCCCTGGCTTCCTCCTCATCCTTCGGACACACAAACGCTTTAGGTGGTACTTATGGGGTCAAGGTTCCTGACCTTGATGGGGAGGTGGCACTCTGTCACTCCTACCCCACTGCTGCCTGTGGCGGGGGCGACCCTGCCGGCCAGCGGCTCTGCCCCAGAGGGTGCCGCAGGGATGTCAGGGGAGTTATGAGACCAGAACGAGACGGATACTGATGAGGAGGAGGTGGGAAATGGGGCAGCCAGGCCCCGACCCTCCAAACTTCACAGGGAGGGTTCGAGGAACACGACAGGAGCTTTGGAGGACGGCACCGTCCGGGTCCTAGTGTTCATGGTCAGGAAGGGGAACAAGAGCCTGAGGGGCTCCCGTGTGCTAGGAGAGGTCATACGGACAGAACAAGTATGAAACCTTTTCTGTAAAAAGCAAACTTGGAAAGTTTTGGTGTACTATAACAGTAATGCTTTCATTTGACTATTAGCCAAAAGAACATCTTTTGGCTCAATAGTTTAAAAATCTGTGATGTGTGTCCACACACATACATTTATGCACGTACTATATATGTAGTGATTCACCATGAAATGAAGACCTAGTTTCATGAAGACCAAGATTAAACGGCTTCCCCAAACCTAGCTGACGACCGAGACTTTACTTGCCACATTATAAAACATGAATATTTAGCTAGCCCCCTGCTAACCTTGCTTCCAGATCCGCGATCCTGAACGCATCCCCAGTCTAAATGGAGAACAGGACACTGGCGCTGGTTTTTTTGATACCGTCTTCGTTGGTGAAGATCATTTTGGGTGGGGATCTTCTTCTGGTGTGAGGTCCACCCTGCTCGCCAGCCTTCTCTGACCAGAGCACAGGTTCAGGTAAGTCTCATTTAATGTAAAGCAAAGAACTCTCGATAACAGCAGATGGGTCACTTCCAAAACCTGCTGCCTGCAGAAATTTCTCAGTAAAGAGACACAGCAGGGGCTGGCCCCATGGCCTCATGATTAAGTTCAGTGCACTCCGCTTCAGTGGCCCAGGTTCAGTTCCTGGGGTCAGACCTACACCACTCATGGCCAGGCTGTGGCAGCGACCCACATACAAAATAGAGGACGATGGGCACAGATGTTAGCTCAGGGCCAGTCTTCCTCAGCAAAAAAAAAAAAGAGACACAGAGCACCATCTCCAGTTGACGGTTTCTGCTTTCTTGTGTGGCCACCACAGAAAGGCATCTGTAATTTCACATTACAGAAAACAATGTGCAGAATGAATTGTTTAAAACAAAAGTACAAAGTATTTGGAGGCAAGTTCATCATATTTACCTACATATTTGACTTTATTTCTTCATTTTTTATTCCCTTCCATTGATCTTTCTATTTCTGCATCAAGATGAGATTGCTTTAATTTTTATAACCTAAGAATACACTCTAATATCTAATTTTTAAAATTCTCTTGGATGCTTTTACTTATTGTTCCAAAAAAAAGTTACAAAAACTTCTCCAATTCTAGGAAAAATCCTGCATGTCTTTCCTATCCCCCACACAGCCACTGACTCCTTCCCTCATGTCCCTTCAAGGATCCGCTTAAAATGTCCCTTCTCAGGAAGGCCTTCTGGGGCTGTCACCACGCTGTCCCCTCTCTCCATTTCTCGGCGCTCACTCCCACCTGATGGTCCACTCGCTGACGGTCCATCTTCCTGGCTGGACGTGGCTCCAGGGCCACAGACTTCGCCTCGAAACCACTGTACCGCCAGGGCCAGAGCGGGGCTGGACGTGTAGCGGATACACCATAGATTTATTGAATGAGCACACAAAGGAATGAATAACATATTTAAAAATTACTGGTTTCACACAAAATATAAGGAATGTCATTTTTTATAAGTTAAATCCATTTCTCCAGTAGCAATGAAACTGAAAATAACACCTTTTAAGACCTGGTCTTATTTACGGATTCTGTGCTCTCACTTTTACGCTGTCCTCATCTTCCTCTCGTGAGTCCACTGGGGAAGATCTATTTAGGGGCTTTCCATCACTTTGAGTTTGAAACTCCATGTTTAATTTTAACCTGTACTCAGAAAATGAAGGGGGATAAAAGCTTTTTTACCAGAAAGTGCGTCTGCACACTTCATGTTTTGACTCAGTGTTGGAGTTTCAGGACAATTATTCTACTTTCATTAAAATTTTATTTTTGTAGGATTAAAATTTTTTCTATAACAATGACATCTTCAAAGTGATCTCTTCTGCATGAAACACTGATGACGTTAGTAATTCAGTCCTTCGATAGTATTCACATTGTGGGAATGTTCTGAGGTTGTGAAAATTCTTTCACATGCACTGTACACTCCAACACGGGCTCAGCACTCTGCCACATCCATGTGAGTTCTAACCTCTGAGATGCACTTCTGGTTTCTTTTTCTGAAACGATTCCATCTTTCTTGGAAATGACCATCGCTCCTTTCTCCTAAGGGTCACCCTCCCCAGGGCAGGAGGTGAAATAAGACAAGAGAAGTGGAGGGTTACCTTATGGTAGACTGTGCAGTAATGCCAAGCTCGGGTGACGGAGATATTCCTTAGACAGAGGAAAAGCGGGGTTCCAGAAGTTGGCAGTCGCTTGGATATGGGTGAAAAAAAAGAACATGGAATGTAGTGAACTTGTGAGAGTCTACAAGAAACTCGCTAACTGAGGTTGAGTGAAAACAGCAGCTTTCCCAACATGCTGTAAATGTTTTCACAACGGGGCACACCCAAACCTGTGGTTCCATCCACCCACTGCACTCCCCTGCCCTGGGCCTCCCTAGCCACACTCAGCGGACTGTAATTTTCTCTCCCTCCCACCCCACTCTCACCCACCCCCACTTCAATTGCACCTTTTCTTTAATTAGATCATGTTATTCTCTAGACATTTGTTTACTCATTGATCTTCTCACTGGAATATAAATCTCTTAAAGTTAGGAAGTATTAAAAGAATTAGGAGTATTTGTATTCTCATCACAATATGAGTAACACTTAATATGTTCTAAGTTTTTTTTGAATAAATAAGCATGTAGTAAAGAATTTAACTTTGCCCAAAAAGATATCTGACCTTTGCCCTCAGCTATTGGGAGGTGATCTCCAAGCCTGTGGTCGTGGAATGTCACACCTGATAGGGGTGTCTTTTCCTGGGGGCCTTGGGCCGGCCAGGTAGTAATAACGTGACGTGATATATAAATAACATGATAGAGACTCTGGTCCCGGAGGCTCGAGGGGGCTCCCCTGATTGACAGGCACTGTGCGTGTTGTCACACATCAGTGCTGGGAGAGTAACGACATCCCGACCCCCCAGGGGAGGACAAAGGAAGCTCCACGTTGATCACTCTCGGGACTCGGCTCCACTCCCCACCTCTCCGCTGATCCTGATCAGCATCTTTTCTCTGTAACACAGCACAACTATGAACATAACAACCTTCAGTGAGCTCTGTGAGTCCTTCAGAGAATTGTCCAAGATGAGGGTGGTCTTGGGGACCACCACACTCACAGTTGTGTGAGTCACGGTGGAGGTACCAGTAGAGACATTTCTACAATTCCAGATGCCTGGAGGACTCTCCAAATGCACCTTCTCAGGAAACAAAGACGCAAGTGAACCTGCACGCAGAGATGGGGTGATGTGTGGGCTGGTGGTCCAGCTGGAAAGGAAAATCCTGATAAAATTAAAGCAAAAAGGAATACAAGTCCAATTACCTAAAATATGCAAATCAATAGCCCTGGCGGGCTTCTAGAGATTCGGACTTTTTATGAACACAGGAGTGAAGCTGTTCCAATTGGGAGGCAGTAGAGCAGCGTGGTCAAGACCCCACTTGAGAGATGAGGTGAGAGGTGAGAATCTCGGCTGGGAGGATCCTGCTCGCACCACTCAGTGGCTGTGACCTTGAGCAAATTACCTAACCTCTCTGTGCCTACACTTCTTCATCCATAAAACAGAGCTTAAACTTGTACTTACTTCACCTCATTGTTGCACAGTGTGTTGGGAGATAAAAAAGAGTTTTGTTAAAAGTCTAAGCATCAGATAGTGGTTAACAATGACGAGAGCAAATGTGTTGAGCACCCACGATGTCCCAGATACAGTGCAAAGTGCTTTACCTGTATCTCAGATACTCATAAGGACCCTGCAGGCAGGCGTGATCATCTTCACCTCTCGCGTGAAGGAGCTAGGGTGTGCACACGTTCATTTACATCCCCCAACTCACACTGCCACTAAGTGGGAATCCAGAATTAGAACTAAAGTCCATTTGACTCCAAAGCCTAAACCAGGCTGAACAGAACCAAGGTGAATTAGGGTCATTGGGGGGTCAGGACCAGGGTGAATTAGGGTCAATGGGGGGTCAGGACCAAGGTGATGTAGGATCGGCAATGGGTGGTGACGACTGGATCATTCAATATTTATTGACATTATGTGCCAGGCATTGTTTTGTCACTGGAAACAGAGTGTGGCCCTGGGCTCATGGACCCGACATTCTAATGGATTCTATGCATCTTGGCCAACCATCGATTTTACTATGCTTTCAGGGCCCTACCGAGACCCAGCGGTCTAGATTCTAACCCAGGTAGTGCAGGAGGGAGGGGAAGACTCCTCAGCAGAAAATAAAGTTTGACAAAATAAAAAGGACAAGCGAAAATGGTCAACTGTGAAATGTCCAGGCCATCCCAAATCCCCTTCCAAGTGAGGCTAGGAACCAGATCCGACTGCCACTGTGTGAAATCGAGCCATGTGCAGAGGATCTCAATAAATGTCCTTCATTTATGAAAAGAAAAGCTTCCCCATGAAACATATTCAAAATAGAGAACAATCTTTTTGGGTCAACCATTAATTTTAATTTTGTACGGACAAAAAAGTGTCCATGTAATTAAACTTTTCTGGTTCCTTCTGCAACAGCAGCAGATGCACAGCTGTGCTCACCCAGAGGTTCTCAGGACATTATCGCTTCAATTTAATGCCAGATGATGTGAAGTGAAACACAATTTCCCCTTTTTTAGGGCAAAACAAAACAGAACAAAAGTGCAAGGGGATTTTTTCCCTCCGCCCTGGTCCTCTTTCCACCAAAAACATTGGTTTGCTTTTGATTTTATTCTGATGCTGGGGCAGCATTTTTTCTTGTTGAGAAAATGCAGAACTTGTGTATTCTGTGGCAAGAACAAGACTTTTTCTTTCATTTTGTGTGAAAGAGCATAACCAGAAGTCCTGGTTCTCTGCACTTTGCTGCCACTTTTGCATCGTCTCCAGCAGCAGAATCGCAGCGACATGCCCCTGGCCAACTGCTCCGTGCACAGCAGGGCAGTGGAGGCGTCGGTGGCCACGCTGCTCCTGCTGGAGTGTGGGCTGGGCCTTGTGGGCAATGCCATCGCGCTGTGGACGTTCTTCTTCCGTCTAAAGGTGTGGAAGCCCTACGCCGTCTACCTGTTCCACCTGGTCATCGCGGACCTCCTGCTGACCGTCTGCCTGCCATTCCACGCTGCCTTCTACCTGAGACACAAGACGTGGAGCCTTGGACACCCGTCCTGCCAAACCCTGCTCTTCCTTCGGGCCCTGAGCCGCGGGGTGGGCGTCGCCTTCCTCACTGCGGTGGCTGTAGACCGTTATCTCCGAGTGGTCCACCCGAGGCTCAAGGTCAACCTTCTGTCCCCTCAGGTGGCCTGGGGGATCTCAGGCCTCGTCTGGCTCCTGATGGCAGTGCTCACCCACCAAAGCTTGTTCATCTCTGAGGCTGAGTGCCCCAGTTTTGCACCCCGGGGATATTTCTCCTTCAGCCTTATCTGGCAGGAGGTGCTCTTCTTCCTCCAAGTGATCCTTCCCTTCGGCCTCATCTTCTTCTGCAATGCCAGGATCATCAGGACTCTCCAGGGGAGGCTCCGGGACCCAGACAAACAGCCCAAGCTGCAGAGGGCCCAGGCGCTGGTGGCCGTGGTCGTGGTGCTGTTCGCCCTGTGCTTTCTGCCCAGCTTCCTAGCCCGGATCTTCCTGGCCATCTTCCGAGGGTCGGACAGCTGCAGGGTCCTGCGGGCTCTGGTGCACTCGTCCGACGTGACCAGCAGCCTCACCTACCTGCAGAGCGTGCTGAACCCCGTGGTGTACTGCTTCTCGAACCCCGCCTTCAGACACTCCTACCGCAAGTTCTTCTACACTCTCAGAGGCCGAGGGCAGGACGCAGAGGTTCCGGGCTGCGACCTCAAAGACTCCTATTCCTGAGGACAGAGAGCTCACTCGCCCCTGTTTTTATGAGAACTACCTCAGATCCAAGTAATAATGACCATTAGTTAGGATTCTGGAAGAAGAGGGAATCTTGAGACTGCACTACCAAGATAGAGACATAAACTTGGACATAACAGCAACAAATGGTAATAAATACTTTGTTTACCAGGATTTTCTTCTGCTATTTCACACAACAGAGCAGCAGATCAAAATTAGGAAGCCAGAGCCTCCTTTTTACCTGACGATGGTTAAATGGCTAAATTGAAGACTCGGGCAGCTGCTGCATACCCATTCTCCAGGGAAGGTGCCTTGATGGATCAGCAGTGGAAGAGAAGAGGCTGAGAGCTGGTTTTGTTCGGAGTCTATTTGGTCCTGGCAAGTCAGTTTAATTTTTGTGCTTCACATTGTAAATGCCAAAAATCTGTGCTTTCTTCTCACCTATTGCACAGACTTGTGATAACTGACATGGGAAAGTGGGGACTTTGGGGATCAACAAAGAGATTCAGGGTGTGTAAGTTGTCTTCCATGCTCGGCTCTCTTTAGCACATAATGTTTTTAGTTTTATAAAATTTCTCTTCATTTGTATAGATGATACATTACATCAAAGAGAGCACAGCTAGTTCCCCAGTTTATTCTAAGAAACACTTTCCTACTAATCTCTCAAAATTGCCTCTAGAAATTTTTTTTTACTTTGAATGTCTAAATGCCTTTAAAATGTACTTTGCTTCCCCTGCTAGAAAGAAAGTCACAGTGATTTACACCTCCTGGGAGAAATGCACGGTGTGAGATACCAAATTGCCTGTGCACTGGTGATTTCCAATCCTAGACCGTGGATAGCTCATGCAGAAGGGCACCAGGGGCTGGGGTTGGAGGTGGTATCTGCCGTCTCTGCAGGTGGAAGGACACCACAGAGAAGGTGGGTACCTCCTCCAACCCCAGTCCTGGACACTCTGGCGCTGGCTGCAACTTTTCATCTCAGGCCTCTTAAACTATGCTCCAAATTTCTTGCACGTTATGGTGACAAAGGATTTTGAAAGTCACCTTCCTAACTGCCTTATCTCTCATTCTCTGTTCAAACCTGGAAGTATGGTCCCAAAAAAGAGTCACCAAAATGCTTAGGGTCTACTTTGTCGTGACACTGGTGCCATGCAGCTGCACAGCTGCCAGTCTCACCTGGAGCTGCGCCTATGTTGTCCACACGGAGAAACCACTGCTTTCCCAGGGGGGCGTCCCAGGATCTCTGTAAGATGTGAGGTTAAAAGTGATGGCATTAGGTCTTAGAAAGTGGCAAAACTCCCTCCCATTCCCAGAGCTGTGTGCCTACCAGGTAGGCTCCTTATCAGACCCAAACTTGCGTGTTCCTACTGTTGTGCTTCTGACGTGTGAAAACCCACCCAAGGGCGGGAGGGTAATGCCCCCCCCCTCCCATAGCTCCCCGGGGCCGTGAACTCCAGCAGCAACACTTGCTATTTTCTCAGGTTTTATTTCCTCCTGAGTGAAGAGAATTTCAAAGGACTCAGGAGGGAAGTGTGCCCAGAGGACGATGTGAAAAGTCTGAATAAAACTCTCTGATGCAAACAAGTGCTACGCCATGCCTGTTTCCTTCTTTCGGTTGAAAAGAAACGTCTCATTTTTCTTCCCCTGAACTTACTGCATATACAGTTTTAAGTGCTGCCTTTAAACAAATCTAACATTTAACATAAATATTTTCCATATTATGATAAACTCCTCACAGGCTTTCTTTACTTGATTACCCAAAAATCTACCCAGAGGATGTTTCCTAACCGTTTTCCTGCTGTTGGGTGTATAGATCCGTAACTGTCTACACAGGTAAATCCACACTGTGGAGTCACATAGCCATCCACCAGACATCACTGCAGCCACATGTGTGCTCCCTTAGGTGGGACAAAGCCAGTCAGCAAGCACTATGCACCACCAACTCCTTCCCAAACAGACAGGGCCCCGGCTGGCCCTTCACTTGGGAAGGCCGTCCCCTCCAGGAGCACTGTGGCTAGCTGCTCTCTGCACCTGGCCCGCCCACATCTTAGCCCTGGAGAAACGGGGACATCTCCACAATGTTACTGCCTCTCGGGCTCTTGCTGACCATTTCCTGGGCGGAGCCGGCCGCCCTCTTCTTTGCTCAGCCGTGGGCCTAACGCAGCGCAGCAGGCTGGGCGATCAGGAGCTTTTAGAAAACCCTCGTGCCTGGGCCAACGCCGGCTGTCCTGACTCGGTCAGGCTGGGGAGGGGTCTGGGCACTGGTATTTTTTCAGTTCCCTCATTAATTCTGTTAATGTGCAGCCAGGGCTGAGAGTCACTGGGTTAGAGGCCAAGGTCAGGGCCTTTGGGTCAGCCTCCTGCTTTGTCACTTACTAGCTTTGTGACCCGACAAATCACCAAACCGCTCTGAACTTTCCTCTTGTGTAAAGTGAGGACGTAAGCCCTGACCTGTGGGGTCACTGCGGGGATTAAATAAAATAATGCGTACACTCCTGCGGAGCACCCAGCCCAGCACATCAGAGGCGTTCAGGAGGGGCTTCTTCGCTATTTCCAAGGGACCAGTTTATCCCGTTATCTTTGTTGATGCCCCAACCAGCCTGGGGTCCTTCGGGGACTCAGCTTTTCACTCACACACGCTCAACACAGATCCTGCACACGATGGGCGCTCAGTGAACTGAACGGTGAAGAATTCTGCTAAATCAAAGGTTGATTACTTCTTCAAAGATTCTTTCTTCTAGTAAATCCTTCCGGATCTTTTCTAAGAATTCTGACTCAAGTTTTATTCTGTGCGTCTGTGAAACGGGACAGGTTTTTTGTGCATGGGAAGGTTCAGGATCCTGTGAACGCCTGCCTCTGAGGATGTCTCTTTGGCATCCTGTCCCATCACTCCTACCAAAGACACCCTGAGAATACTCTCATGATTTTCTTCCTTAAAGACCCAGAGTAACGAGGCTCTTCTTCTTCCCCAAATTACTCTCTCTGAGTAAGGAAATGACTCAAAAGGAAAGTGCAGGAAGACAGCAGATGACGGGCCTCAGAACCGCAACTATTGTGCTGTCAGCAGCAAATTTTAGTTTCTTTTCTCCTGTGACTCACTTCTTGTAACGAAGCAGCTGCAGCATCGTGTCTGTGGGTCTTGCAAATCTCAGCATTGTCTGAAACCTGCATATTTGGTACAAACAGCCAGGAGCCCAGATTGTACTCTGACTGATGAATGTCTTCCCTTATTTAGATAATGCTATCACTGTTTTAAATGCTGTTAACCTGGTCGTTTCTCTTTCCAAAATCCAGTAAGGCACGGATTCCTCCTTGGCCATAAATGCGTCCTCCAAGTGCAGGGCATTTTGCATGGAATGTTCTAGTCTCTGTTTCTTGCACATTCTTACTCGCCTTTTCTGGTCTAGCCCCTGAGACCTGCCTTCTGTGTGGAGCCTCCCTGATAGTACCCCACCTGCACCCCAACACAGCGCATAACTCATTCCCCCACCTCCAGACCATCCTGTGGTGCTCAAGTCTGCTTCCCCTCCGTGTTGGCTCCTCGTAGCCCAGATAGCGTCAGTTCATCTCTGCATTCCCAGCACTTTGCCCAAGGCCCGGCACACGGTAGACACTTAAAAGATTTGTAGAATAAATAATAAATGAATGAACAACTGGACCTAATTTAAAGTTAACAATTTAACTTTATTAATTATGTAATAGGTTGTTTTTTTAAATATACTTTGAAAGTCTGGGTCCAGAGGCAAACTTAAAATTATATCTTAAAAAATCTTCTGGGAATACACTAATATAAATGAAAATATGATAATTTTCATATTTATTGGAGAAAGCTTGCCTCTATATTTTCATAAGCATTTCTGCCAATAAGTCAGTAAACAATTTCGATTCATTTAGGGTTGAGATAATGAATGGACTCCATGTTCACCTGTGGGCTTGTTTAGGGGCTGTGAAATGCATCATGTGACTCTCAGAGACTTCTAGAACACAGTGCTAGTGTTCATGGGATCCCCAAACAGTAGTCGTCCTCGAAATGTCTCTTTTTTTTAAATTGTGGTAAAATATACTTGACATAAAATTTATCACCTTAACCATTTTCAAGTGCACAGTTCAGTGGCATCAAGCACATTCACATTGTTGTGCAACCATCACCACCATCCATCTCCAGAACTCCTTCATCTCCCAAAACTGAAACTCTGTCCCCATTAAATAATAACTCCCCCTTCTCCCCTCCCCCAGCCTCTGGCACCACCATCTACTTTGTGTCTCTGTGAATTTGACTCCTCTAGGGACCTCATATGAGTGGAATCATACAGTATTTGTCTTTTTGTGACTGGCTTATTTCACTCAGCATAGTGTCTTCAAGGTTCATCCACGTTGTAACATGCGTCAGAATTTCCTTCCTCTTTAGGCTGAATAATATTCCCTGGTATGTATCTACCCCATTTGGTTCATCCATTCCTCCATCAGTGGACACTGCGGTTGCTTCCACCTTTTGGCTATTGTGAATAATGCTGCTGTGACCATGGGTGTGCGCACATTTCTTCAAGGCCCTGCTTTTGATTCTTTCCCGTGGGCACCCAGAAGTGGAATTGCTGGATCATATGGTAACTCTAGTTTTCATTTTCCAAGGAATCACCATACTGTTTTTCACAGTGGCTGCACCATTTTACATTCCCACCAACAGTGCACAGGGGTATCAATGTCTCCACATCCTCACCAGTAATTCTTTTCTTTTTTTTATAGTTGCCACACTAATGGGCGTGAAGTGAGACAGCCCTCTTTGAAAATCAGAGAATGCTCACTATCTTCAGGGACTAAGAAGAAATCCCTGTACCAGGATCCTGGAAACTACAGCTGGGCCCACAATGAATTCATTACGAGGCCACACCGTACTCACTCAATCTCAGTGTTAATTCTCTTTGTCACTGAAACCATAGGCAGAGGACAAGGGAATTCTAGCAGAGAAACCATTTCCTGGATGGCGGAGACCGAGGACCTTCTGCGATCCCCAGGAATTAGAGCTGCCCCATTTGCTGACCGTCATCTGACCCCAGGCGCTGCAGTCAGAACAGGACACCAGGCTGCAGTCCCCTGGACGAGGAGCTCTTAGGCCTTAATTCGAGTCCTAGCTCTGCCGATATCTGGCTGTGTGACCTTGGGCACATGGCCATGTGGAGTCCACATTTTCACCTGAAAAATGATGACTCTTTCCTCAAAGGACTGTTGGGATGACTAAGCTAAGGCCCTTTGTAATCGGGGCCCCACAGAGCCCCTG